CATGGCTTCAACTCTAATCCAATTTGAAAAACCCATTTTTTAAGAAATACCACCAGCTTTGACACTACTAGAATGTGTTTCTAATAAAACCAACACATTAATCTTCTTATCTCTAGTTAAGTCATGAACTTGGATAGGGAAGTTTTTTGAGGCAGAGCCCCTACAATTCCACACTAATATATTCATAAAAACAAAGAGGGGTAAAAGACCTGAAGATCATTATTGAGTCACCTAAGGGGTTGCAAGCACTCCCTCTAAGTCACTTTCTTCTTCTTTACCTTCCATTTCATAGAAATTTTCTTATACTTCTTTAATGCCGTTATCCAATGAATCCTTATTCTTCTCGAGAATTTGTTAACTAGGAGGGTCATTGGAATGAGGGAAAATGATTTCCCTTATCTCTATCGTCATTAGTCTAATTCCTTCATTGATATACTCATGGGTCTCTACTAGTTTTGAATCCTGTTGATGATCAGTGTTGGTGTTGGGCTGGATTAATTGATCTAAAGCCAATGGGCCCTTGAAGGACAAGTTTCCCATAGTAACATTATGTAGCCTTTTGGATTATTTTCTTTTCAAAACTAGTGATAATATTTTGGGCCTCGTTGCAAGACTTCTTTTTAGTCCACTAGCTAATTTGCTAGTCATAATATGGCCTGATCCTTCCACTTGGCCTTTTCTCTTTACATTACCTTTTCTACCCTTCTCTTCCTTATGTTTTTTAGTTGAGAAAGAGAAAACTCTCTTGGTGTCTTCTTTTGTAAGCTTCATGCTAGGCTGTGAGTTTTAGTTAGTAGGCTTGTCCTTTTTAAACTTTCATTTTTCTTGATCAGACACATAAGCTATTGAGCTGCCATTTTCATGTCCTTCTGTTTGATCATCCCATTTTTCATACTATTTTCATTCTTTTTCTTCCTTCATACATTTTTTTTCTGAGCCACTCTCTCTTGGGTCTGCTCCTGCTCTAAGTCCAGATCTTTAGACAGTACTACGAATTTGGACGTAGCATTTGTGATATTGATGCCTTGGTAGTTTGTCTTTTGGCCAGCGAATCCACCGTAGCTTGATTTTCTAGTGTCATTTCACCATACTCTTAGTTTGTAAGGCTTTTGGTTAATCATCCATTCTCCATAATGTTCATCCAGTAGTATATTATTAGGATTTAATGTTGAAGGGGATGTTGCTTGCTTCTATCCTTAGGGTTTGTCTGAATGTTTTCCTCCTCCTGCTTCTGTTTTGACTTCTAGAATCTTCATGAGACAGTCTTCACTCTTGTGTTCGACCTTGCCATAATTGAAGCAAATGACATTAATTCCTTCATACATCATAGTAAATATCCTCCTTCTAATAACAAAATGAGAGTAAAGAGGTTTCGTCAAGTCAACTTTTACACTCACACGAGCATATCTTCCTCTCTCCACATGTTCTTTTGATTAACTTGGGCAAGGCTATACATATCAACTTTTAGGGCTTTCCCTATCATGTTGCCAATTTCCTACATGAACTCCTCATTATAACAGTGCATAGGAAGAATAAGGATAAACTCAAATCCATAGAGCAATCTTTTTTATCTGATTAGTGAAAGGATTGAAGTTCAGGCTCTATCATTGCACCACAAGGAAATGTGTCGAGATTACCCATAGACCATCACTAAGGACCTTTTGGTATAATTCAACATTCTCTATCCTGAACATGAAGTAATTGTTCTTAAAATCTATAAGTTCAAAGTTATACGTACCCTAAATCCTAGCGAATTTGGACCTAAGTTTTGCAAGTTGAATCTTCTTCCCCATCAATGTTATGATCAAAGCCTCTTTCCATGGACCACAAAGCTCATTGAGTCTATCATCCAGTACTTTAATTGTAGGTAGAGAGTCCACAATCTTCTGTTGTTTGGCAATCCACTATGGTGTACATAAAGTTTCCTGTTTCATCCATTCTTTGAATTGTTCTTCAAAGTCTCGTATCGATTTTGTCTCCTCTCTTCTAATTAATTTTACCTTGTAAGATATCTATTTGGCACAAGAAGCAATCTCAGGTTGATGGCTTTCTGAAGAGTTTTTTCCTTTCAGACCTTGTTTTTCTCCAAGTGGCTGCTCTTTCTCCTTCATATTAGTGTCATTCATCATATCTGTATTATGCATTACTATGTCATTATCAAGTTTTTTGGTGCTACGTGCAAGGACATCCTCTTCTTCAATCGAACGAGCTCCTCCCTCATCCTCAATAGAAAAAGTGGAGGAAGTCAAAAAAATAGCCTTAAAAGGAGTCAAGTTTCTAATCATGTTATTATTGCCCAAGAAGTATTGAATACTATGATAAACAACAAATCAAGAAAGGGCCTAATAACCATCAAGGTGGATCTTGAAAAAGCCTATGACAGGTTGAATTAGAGATTTGTCAAATGATGCCTAAAATAGGTGGGATTCAAAGGTAAAGTTCTTAAACTAATACAATTTTGCATTAAGAGCCCAACAATGAAAATCATTTGGAATGGGGAACTAACAAAAGAATTCAAGCCTTCGAGAAGGGTTCGTTAAGAAGACCTTATCTCTCCTTACATCTTTACACTTCGCATGAAAAAACTCAGCCACATGATTGAGGATGATATTAATCTAGGCAATTGGAAACCAATTTATTTGAACAAGAATGGACCATCAATTTCTCATCTTTTCTTTACTGATGATCTTATCTTTTTTGGCGAAGCTTCATTGGACCAAATAGAAGTTATAAATAGTTGCTTGGAGATGTTTTACAAATGTTCAACTCAGATGGTTAATAAGAGCAAACCCAAAATGTCTGTTTCTAATTCAATTCATTTCTCCAGAGCTATGGCTTTAAGCAAACAACTGGGAGTTAGCCTCATGGGAGAGCTTGGAAAATATCTAGGTATCCCACTACTGCACAAAAGAGCTAGTTACTCAAATTTCAGACCCATCTTGGGTAGGGTTAAAACAAAGCTATTTGGATGGAAGGGCAAATTACTCTCATTTGCAAGAAGATTAGTCTTCATTCAATCAGTGCTCACAATGATCTTAAACTACCATATGCAAACCATGCTCCTTCCAAAGAAAATATTGCAGGAAATTGAAAAAGAAAGTAATGCTTTTCTATAGGGCAGCAGAGATGGCGAGAAGATACTCCACCTTGTCTCTTGGGATAATATGAAACATAAGAAGGAGTCGAGTGATTTAGGGGTAAAGGATCTACAAACTTAAAATCATGCCTTCATCTTGAAACTATACTGGAACATGGTCACTAATCAGGAAGCATTATGGGTTCAAGTCCTAAGATCTAAATACAAGTGTGGTGAAGCTAATATGCCTTCAATCTCTAAAAGGAAAAATGCCTCAAAAACTTTAAAAAGTATCATTAAAGTATGGGATACCTTCAAAGAGGGCCTAGAGAAAAGATACCCGTCGGGTAAATCCTCTAAATTCTGGTATGATAACTGGTCCTTAATGAATGAACCATTAATCAAGTATGCTATGAGTAATACTCTCCTACTAGATATAGAAGCCACTGTTGAAGACTTTATTACTCCTAGTGGTGCATGGGACAAAGATAAAATGGTGAACTGGCTTACTTCCTTCATTATTAATCAAATTACTAGCTTTAGCCCACTCATAATAATAAGGAGTGAGAAATTTGTGCAGAAGCCATCTACTGATGGTGTTTTTAAAATTAAATCTGCGTATGATTTTCTTTTTGTAGGTATTAGAGATTATAGAGAAAAACTTTGGACAAAAATCTGGAGATGGAGCATATCGAAGAAGATGAAAAATTTCATTTGCCTCTTGGGAAACAACAGAGTGCATTCAGAAAAACTTAGAGAAAGAAGAGGTCTTTCAAACTTGAGCACATGTCCTTTTGGATGCAACGAGGAGGAGACAGCAATGCACATTGTTAGAGACTGTAGAGTTGCCAGGGATGCATGGAGACAAATTATTAAAATAGAACACCAGAGCAATGTTATGCAACAACACTGTCTTGATTGGATTCAATGGAATGCTAAGAATGATCTTGGAATAGATTTTGCAAAAAAGGTACCATGTTCCACTACCTTTACACATGTATGTTGGGAACTATGGACCAACAAATACACAAATTTATTTGGAAATGAAGAGCCAAAAATGCAAATTGATACAAATAAATGCATCTGGAAAGTTGTAACAAATTTTAATCTGATAGGAAGAATGAAGATGGAAAAATCCACTCTCAAGCCAATTGACAAGTGGCACCCTCCAACAAAAAGTTTTGTCAGACTTGATGTCGATGGATCAATATACGTAAACAGTCTTACCACTTATAGTGGAATGGTAATAGATGAGAATGGCAACTGGGCTACAAGGTTTTGTAGTAGAATTGGGCAACTCCCTTCTGTTAGCGAAAATTATGGGAATCATAACAAGTTTAGAAATTTGCTAGTTGAAAGGATTCAAAACGGTAGAAGTCTATTCTGATTGTGTGGAAACCATTAACATCATAAATAGAGACCATAATGATAAGCACCCCTTCCATGATATTTTATCCTATGCTATTAGCATTTTGAATGAAAATTGGCCCGTTTCCATTAGCTTTATTTATAGAGATATTATTAGCGCAGCTCATCAGCCAGCTAAGAAAGCTCATTTTGAGAAGAGTTATTTTTGCCCCTTCAATAATCCACCACCTTAAACTTTTGTAAGGGGTGTATGATGATTGATTTGGACTCTCTTGTAGTCTGTTTGTCTTTTCCAAGTTTTCTTTTATAAATGGTATTCAGTTTTAATCCAAAAAAAAAAAAATTTCTAATCATTGTACCCATGAACAACTTAACAAAGCACGTACCAGCTGCCCCATCACAGGCTGATTTAGGTGCTCGCCACCCTTTCCCCCTTTATCTATCTAACACTCCACAATATCAAATTTAGCATCAAGCTCTATACCCACCCCCCCCCCCAAAAAAAAAAAAAACAAATGCAGCATCAAGCTTCCACCTACTCTCGCAGCTCGCAGTCTTCATCAACGTAACATTGATTCCATAGAATAAAAGTCAAATTTTCAATATTCAAAATACGAATGTGCACCTGAGAAGCATCACAGTAAGGAAGAGCTCCCATTCCCCAGCTGTGGGGTTAGTAGGCCCAGGAGCCCCTAATCAGCCTTCACAGGTGTAGGTTATTTACTTGATACGTAAGCTATTCATTAATGCATTAAAAACAAACAGAGAACACAGTAAACTAAAAGTTCAAGGAATTAGCCGAGTAAAGAGGCATTCCTTCAGGTCTTTTCAGAAATATCCTAAGGACATCATCTAGAAAGCCTTTAAAGCGAAGTTATTCTCAGTTTGCACGGTCCCTGAGGACTTCAAGATCCATCTCTGTAGGGTCTGTTGCCTGAATCTCATAATGGATACCCTCCAGCTCCCGTCTGAACCTGTCCTTGGATGTTGCATACAGCATTTTTGCACGAATTCGGGATACAGAAGGAGACCTGTAAAAATTGAATTAAAAAAAACCCACAACCAAGGCAACAAATAGATCATGAATGAGCCAACTTATATAAGGCTTTAACCTGCTCTGGTTTAAACATAAAATTATGCCATTGCCAACATGCATGGAAGCTTGCACCAAAATATTCCATCATGAGATTAACTTGCCATCTGCAAGTAATAAACCACGCCCTCCCTACTTCCCCAAACATTAAATAAAGAAAGAAATAGTAAAAACCAACAAAAACTACTGCGAGGGGCAACATTCCTAGATTGTCAGTCAATAATGAAGATTCAAACTAAACATTTGTTTTCCCTCTTCCCTAAACAACAGCAACAAGTGCAAGATCTAAAATTTGTATTACTATAACAGCAGTACCTAGTGAATAAAACCCAAAATATTCACATTACCAAAGGACGACTCAAATGCCAAATTGAGATGTGATTGATAAGATGGTTTGTGATCTTAAATGAAAACATGACACAACAGTTAACGTGCAGGGAAGGGTGAAAAAACTGTAACACGAATCAGGACTCAGGCTGTGGGAAGAGGAGAAAACAACAAACAAATAAAACAAGAAATCTCAAGCACAAAAGAGGCACATACCAGCTGTTAAATCTGTTTCCGATACATATTGCATTTCAGGATTAGCATTCAATCAAAAGAAGGTTGAATAAAAAAATTTTTAAAAAAAAAGCAGGATTCAAGTAGTGGGAAGATGAGAAAAGACTCTACTAACCAAACAAAAGGGTCTGAAACACAAGAGGGGAACAGAACGGTTGGTCAATAGAGCAAAATCACTGTTTCCAATACACTTGTCAGTCCAATATTGAGCACCCAGATAGAAAGGGTGCTTCAAATTAAAATTGAGCATCTTTATCAAATATGGATGTGAAATGAGAGCTATTAGAGTTCAACAACAGAGTCAGAAACTTGGAATCTTCATTAATTAATACAGTAGATAGTATTGAGAAAAGAACTTCCATACCATTTATCTATCTTAGAATTGCTGTATCTAATAAAATTTACTATAAATACAATCAAATTTAATTTTGCTTGATCATATGATTCCATCAAACTTGCTTCCACTCAATATGAAAATTCTACTTGGTATACATCAGAGCAATATATTTATTTCATCTAGTGAAATTAGCACATACAATAAGCTGCCTTTAGAATAAATGCAGATCGTCTTTCCAATTCAAATACAAGTCACACAGCAAACAAGAAAATTACAATCCGTGCTTCAGCATTCCTCTTCAAAATTAGTAAATCGCATATTGATTCCACCAATCACTCTACTTGTTATTTACACTATATACTTTGTGTCCAAATCGTAAACAAGTAGAACCATAATAGCTATGCCATAGTGACACTCCAGATTCTGTGAATTGAGCAAAATTTTGTAATTTCAGTGTCACAAAATAATGGTTCAGCCAGTCAAACTCATGCACTATTCTCCGCGCGTAAGAATTTGTGAATGATAAAGGTCTAACATTTATGCACTAAATAAACCATAATCTAGAAAGGGAGCATTCATAGCATAGCAACAGAAAATTGTACAGAAAGTCTTTTATAACCTTGCAGCAAAGGAATATAAAAAGTACTGGAAATAGCAAGAATATAATAATATAATAATTCGTATAGACATCACCCGTCCACATGAACTCAATTGCCTCATTGACAGAGAATATGAACATCTTTACCTAATTCAACTTTAGATGCTAACCAAAGACAATAAGTAAAACAAACATATCAGGATGAAGTAAGCAGGATCTGAAATGCATCAAACAATTTGTAATTCAGATTTGTCAAAACTTTTCATCAGTTCATCCTTCACCATTGGAAAACTAGATTAAGTTGTATTTCTAAGATTAGAATATTACTGATGATGAGATAGTGAGCAAGTAATGACATGACATAATAGGAGCTTCATAGAGGAGTTCGATACTGTCATCTTCCACCCATTACCCATCAAACCATCTTTCAGGTGACTAAAGTGATTTTGACGCTTGCCCTTTCATTCTCAAATATTTTTGTCTCTTGCTTTCTTTTTAAGAGACATCTGTATTATAAGTCTTCAACGCGAGTCATGAAATAGAAAAACGCACTGATTTAAAGCAGTATATATCCAAATCAAGGTTAATATTTTTTCTCCAGGTGAATAAAAATGCGTTTTCCATTATTTTTGAAGAAATCAAGTAACTAACCATGCGATAAAAAAGATTTTGCTCTTTTGACAGTTCTCAGAAGTTACAAAATCGAAGTCATAGACGGCATATCGGCAATCATTCTCAGGTAAGGAAGCAGTGAAATCATCATAGCTCTCAGCAGGGCCCCCTGTCTTCTCAACCACAACTTCTTTCTTTTTCTCATCAATCTTAAAAATGACGTAGCGGTGAACTTTCTTCCTCTGCAGTTCCAAGTATGTGCTTACACTATGCTCAGCAACCCCCATGCCAGAAGAGGCATTTCCCTAAAATGAAGTCAAGTGTTAAATACTGTATCCCATTAAGGGCAGAATTTTTTTTATTAAAACCAAATATGAAAATCAAGGGAATTAGAAAATGAAACTGAAGGTTCTTTCTGTTAATTCATAGTAATCGCATCAAGATATAACCAAACTTAATTGCAACTCAACGGGAAAAAAATCGTTGTAGTGCATTAGGTAGGAATAAAGCATGCAGCAGCACCAATCTTTCATGTGATAGGATACAACTAAATCTGATACAATATTCAAATGATTTCTTAAAACTTCAGCGTCGTGAACCCACTTAGATATGAACCAACCAAAATATTTCAATTTTAACAAGGAGAACACCAAACCATGAGCAGATCCCAGCTCCAGCGCGTGAATAAAAGCCAACAAATTCCAGCAGCTTACATTAGAATTGCATCAGGAAAACTGAAATGAAGTTGCAGAGAAAAAGGCAGCCAGACCAGATAGTGAAAACCAGAAAATCCACTACCCCCATAGCCCGATATCAATAATAAAATTTGTAGAAAGCTTGTCAGTCACAGCGTGCTATCAAAGCCTACAAGAAGCATCGATAAATCCAGTTTCTGCGATATATTTGAAGTTTTCTACTAAGACCAACATCGATTTGAAGCCAAGTCAGCTAGCGCGGAGAGCTATGTATTTAATTAAGCAAGTATCACGAAGAAAGGGAAAACTTCACTCCAGTACAAGAATCGTGTCAGAACTACTGAGCTAGAAGAAACAAAAATTGAGACCGGAAATTCCGGTAGTAAGTTCATGAAAATCAGTCAGCGAACATGTCTATATGAGACCAAGAAAGGAAAAACAAATCCACACAAGAGGAAATCGGAAATCAAGCGGAAAGCACAATAACTTAAGGCAAACTAAAATAATGGAAGCGCATTTCAAGATCTTCATCAAAATTAGAAGAACGAGAATCAGAAGAGCAAAAAAGCAAAGGAAGCATACCCCTCCTCGGAACGCCATAGCTACAGAGACCACCAGCGAGTTAAACAACCAGCGAGAAGAGAATGATAGAAGATTAAAAATCAAAATAAGAGAGAGAAATTATTGAGATAAAAAAAAAAGGAAAAAACATTGGAGGAGAGAATAATGAGAGGAGTAGAAAAAGAGGAAAGGAAGGAGAGGAGAGGAGTGAGACGGAAGGGAGAGGAGCGTCGTTTTGTTATTTTCTGATAAAGAGGTTGGACCGCCCCTATCCCTACTGCGGATCGTCTGGTGCCAAATTCAGGTCACCCCAGGTAGTACCGACTCGTTTCATCACACTGAGGCCATCGCTGTCAAGCGTCCACGTGTGCTCTTATATTTGTACGTTTCTTTTTTACTTGAACTTTTTGATATTTTATTTTAAAAACTTTTACACAAATAACTCATATTATAAAATTAAATAAAAAATAATTTATTTTTTTAAATTTTAAAAATAAATTTTTTAATATTTATATTATAATTAATTTAAAAATGTGTCCTTTTTAATATCTACTTTTTTCAAATATCAAGAGAGTCAAAATGTAAAAAATCTATAGAACGAAAGAGACAAGTGAAAGAGAGAAGACTGAACTCGACTTGAGAGAGACGAAAGCGAGATAGTAGAACAGTGTGAATGAGCCACAATTATGATGGCAAGAGACAAAATTTGAGGAGAGATACATCGGCGGTGCTCAACAGAATTGTGCATGTCGGCGAGAAAACAAGGCTACGGATTCATAATTTTTTATTTTATCAATTTAAGTGTTTGATTCTCTGCGATAAGTTAAGAGTTTAAAATTTTTTATGGACTATATTTAATCTGTTTTAAGTAAATGATTATATATTTTTTGTGTTACTAATCTACACAACTATATTATTGATATATGACTATATATCAATTATAAATAAGTTTATATCTGATTGTCTAGTTATATTGATTTATGATAGTATATTAGTGATATACTATGTATATCATTGATATATAAGTCATATCAGCGAAAATTTGTTAATTTATTTATCATTGATATATAATCATATATTAATGATGTTGTATCATGGATTAATAATGGAGTTTCTCTTCGTAATATATAAGAAAAACAAAGAGGGAGAGAGAGGAAAAGCTCTAAAATAAAGATGGTGATCTGAGCAATCATATCAAAAATTTTGATAAAGAAAAGTACTGTACAAAAGATGAATATAAAAATATAGAAAAATCAAATTAAAAAAGGTGATAAAAAAATTCAAAGATGATAAATTAGATAGGAAACATGTACAATATGATTTTTTATGCTAAAAAATAAGAGATTAATCAGTTAAAGAATAGTTAAATCAGATATATTATATTTTAATAATAAATTTATTTTGAGATAAAAAGGAAAACACGTCTAATTAGTATCATATTCTGAAATATTTAAAAACCTCATCCATAATTAATGAAAGTTATATTTTTTTGAGGCCATTAAATTAATTTTCTCTTTATTTTATTTAGAATAAAATATAAAAATTGAAAATAAAAAAGAATTCTAACTAATCTTAATAAAAGTAAACAACATCAATGTATTTTTCTCTCCATTTTTAATGCAATTAAAGTGCTACCGCGTATTCTAGTTCTAGACACTTTGAAGAACAAACCATACCCTTTTTTTAATGAAAACAAATCATACCTTTTACTAAACAAATTTAGATGGGCTAAATAATAAAAGCTCATGTGCAAGGAGAACCAATTACAGCATTTAATGCAGTTTTTTATATTGTTTTATTTAATTAACATTAATGATGACTATTAATATTGACACAGATGATGATTATTTGAATTTTTAATGGTTAGATCTTATACAATCTTATTTATTTATTGGAGTATATTCTTTTTTGAAGGTATGGGAACTTTTGGGGAAATGATAGTCGCAAAAGTTTTAGCAAGAGCACAGTTAATGACATCAAAACTTCAATATGTCGATTAGGCGCAAAAAGGTCCTTTACGAACCTAACTATTCTAGTTTTGTCAAATTGTGATTTTAACCTACTTGTTAAACTGTGCTAGACAGATTTATGTTGCTTTGCTGCGATGAATATAAATACGATTCATGCCCACAAAAAAGCTACAAACATGAATAATATTGTAAGATTAATAGCATACTTTGCGAAATACAGACAAAATATAATGATAGTGAATCACTGAAAAATTAGATGGAAACAATATTGATAAAAGTATAATCATGATTTATGATTATAGCTAGAATATGTTGGAACGACTTATTGTAGATTTTTTCCCCATGTCACAAGCATGTGAGTGTAGTGTTTTTGTTTTTTTCGTTTTAGACATAATATAATGTTTTTGGAAATGAAGGGTTGTTCACTTAACAACAAGCCCATTAAAGGCCCAATCAATGCTGATACGGGCTGATAATTGTTGCGGGAGGAACTAAAACTAAGATTCTAGATTTCTCGTTGGAGGAGGTGATGTGTCAGTAAACGGTTTTCGTTTTTGGCATATCGCGATCGATGGGGAAGTGAATACCCCAGGACATAATTCTCTGACTATAAAACAGGCCTAGTGAATCATAAATTACAAGAGAGTTTTGAAAATGTCTACAAATCAGTGGACGAAAATATCTTGAAAAGAATTACTTTCAATAAAAGAATATATGTAAGTAAAAAATAAAAACTTAGAATTCTTTATTGTTCCAAAATATAAATAATTTGAAAATAATAAAAAAATTTATTAATGATATTTTTATTATATACAAACGATTTGTAATATGAAGAACGAGGTACTACTGAGTACTGACTTGACGATGAGAGCCATTTGCTAGCATGGGAGAAGTCTAACTTCATACATTAATATTGACGTTGTAAATAAGGGTATTTATACGTTTGATTTGGTTTGGCTTTGAAAAAGAATCAATCCAAATTAAACCAATCGATTCGCTGTAACTTGAGTGCTATTCAGTTTTTTCTTTTAATCAATTTGGTTCAATTTAGTTAAGATTTGGGTTAAGTATGAATTTTTTTTTATGAGATATTATTCATGATCATCAATATATATTTATATTTATTGATAATTTTTAACTATTAATTATTATTTGTAATGAAAAAAATATCTTCAATACAAAAGAATATTTTTAACAATTAATTAGCATTTTTTAACTATTAAAAAGCAATATATCATCTTCAAAATACTTGATGATAAAATCATTATAAACAATTATAGATAGCAATCAGCTAATTGTAATATATTTTTTGCTAAGAATTTACAGGCAACTAAGCTTAGAAAAGGGAAACAATTAAACTTAGCCAAATTTATAAAAATATACTATAATATACTCCCTTCATTTAAAAATATAAGATATTTTTAATTGAATCTCACCTCTAATAAAGTAGTTATTTGTTTTCAAACTAAACTTATCTTTTCATATTTACTCATATATTAATAGAATGTTTTATCCTAGAATAAATATAAAGTGATTTATTTAATACGGCCACTTAAACAAAATAATGATTACACCTTAAAAAATAAAAAAAATTAATTTTTTTATATTTTTAACATTAAACCCTTAAAATTTTTTTAATGGAGAGAGTATATAATAAAAATTGTTTTAGTTTGGTTCAAGTTTCTAGAAATAAAAACTTGAACCAAACTAAACCAATCATTTTTTAAAAAAAAACTAAATCAAATATCATTTATAATCAGTTTTGATTAGTTCATATTAGTTTGGTTAGATTTAATTTGATGCAATCAATTTGAATTAGTTTTAAATACCTTCAACTGTAATGGTCCTTTTCGAAAGTCATAGTTATTTTTTTAACGCTGTCCTCACAAAAGGGTTTTACTAGTCAAAATATGTGTATACTTAGCTTCCAAATTCCAAACTAACGAGTAAATATATTATGAATGCAAGTGTAAAGGAGAGTCCCATTTAAAATATTTAAGCTAACAACTATACATATTTTTCGTGTATTATCTAGATTGAAGTAATATTAATTACTAATGCTGTTAAAAAAAATCAAATTTTTTTAGGAACCAAAAAATTTAATAGCCCATTCTATATTATAAGACATTTTTAATTAAATTATAACTTTCAATAAGTTAATTAATTGTCTTTAAAAGTACACACTTTTTTTATATTTACCTTTATTTAATGTGGTGTCTCAATTAGAAAATCTTATTAATGACACCTTAATTAAGAGTATTTTTTAAAAAAACTTCATTAACTATATTTTGAAAGATCTAAATACATATCTTATATTTTTTAACATCTTATTTGCAAAAAATGCCTTTAGTTTTGAGAGGGGAAAGTATTAATTTTGGAATAATGATACTTCCAATCAAATGCATAATGGCATCAGACAACTCTAAATTTCCCTTTAACCACTATGCGAATCACTAAGGGAGAGGGGGGTGAAAAAGTGTATGAGAAATTATAATTGAAATTATTCGTGCGATTGACTAATTAATTAGTGTGCTTGGAAATTTGTGCAAATAAAGTTTTGAGGAGAATTAAAAATGAAATTCTGCGAAGCTAACATGAGCAAAACTTGGCATATCCATGTAGACAGATCAGATATGGAAAAATAAACGGGAGTGGAAAAATAAACAAACGAGAGTGGAAAAATAAACACACACATAAAGCACATAGTCTTGCTTTGACGCGTAAAATGAAAGGAAAAAATAAGTGGGAAATGGGGGATGCATTACTGTCTACTTTAATTTAGGCACATATCACATCAATATCAAGGTCATAATCAGATGATTAATGGATTCGTGATTCAAAGTTTCGCACTGTACGAGATTCCAGTCAATCGAATGTAAGCGCGCTGGAAATGTTGCTCCTCCTGGATGACCAATCAGCGATCTGGACACACTGTCATCCGTGAAGCTTGTATTAGTTCCGGCTTCACACTGCTTACTTAAGACCAATGATATTAATGCACATGATCTGCATTTCCTAAATACATACGATTTTTCATTGACTTTTTTTTTTTAACTGACTTTTCCAAATCTAAGCCGCGAAGTGTAAACTTCCGAAATTCACAATCAGCCCCTCCCACTTCAATACCCTCTTAATTCCTCTCTTCCCTCTTTGGGGAAAACAAGAAAAAGAAACCGATAGTTCTGTTTGAGCCAGAAAAATGGAACAATGTTAGCTATCGTTCTTGCTTGTTATTAATTAATTACTATTAAATATTACAAATTATAAAGATTAAATTAAATAAATAAATA